GCCCCGCCTCCCTGAGACTATATACAACCAAACGAGAGCCAGAAACCCCCTCCTAACGGCCCCAAAATCCCCCCTTTTCAGGTACCCCCTTAAGGATCCCCCATCCTGAAATCTCCTAATACCTCCCCCCCTAATCCCGTTTACGCGGAAGTCTGTTGGGTAACAATAGAAGATGAGACACTCGGACACGATGGATACTTATCAAATAAAGCGCTCTGCGAGGGTTTCAATAGCGCTGTCGATATCAGCGACACCAAAAACGACTCCAGCACTATCACGAAATTCTTCCAAACTGAAATTTTTAAAAATCATTTTCTATTGTTTTACTCTTATTATTAATTATTACTATTATTAATTAACTACTACTACTATTAATTACTACTGTTTTGTACTGCCATTAATTACTATCATTTATTATTTTATTATTACTGTATTATTATTATTGCATTATAACCTATAATTAATCATTACTCCAATTACTTTAACATCACTAATACTTCATTACTACTTAATAATATGATTTGAAATTATTATTTATTAATAATATTATTTATTATTACTATATAATAATAACAATAATACGCACAAAAAGCGGTCTCCAGAGGCGGCATCACGGTGCCGCACGCGAACACGCCCGCGCGCGCCATGAAGTCGAATATTGGATGTTGAATTCCAAAGAACATAAAATAAAAGTCTAACATCCTGAACACGTACGTATATCTGTATGGCATCAATTCATCCTGAACATAATAATTATTATTATTTATTATTATATTTATTATTTATTATCATATTTATTATTATATTTATTATTATTATAAAAATAAAATAAACTAAGTCTCACCAAACTCGAAACAGTCGTCACCAAAATATGCGTTCCATAGATGCCAATTAATAAGGACGGTAATGATACAAAATCCAACATTTTCAATGCACTGAATCACATTAAAGTAATAACAACAATAATAATAAATAATTAATAATAACAATAATTAATAATAATAATTAATAATAATAATTAATAATAATAA